GGGGGGGGTAGGGCGGGTCGGCCGCGTGACTGAGTGTGGAGGGGTCGAGAGCTGTTGGCCTTGGTTGCTTTCTTGAACACTGACCCACCCCCGATGCTCACGTTACTCTCCACCCTTGATAGGGAAATGCTGGATGCCGTAACAGGTGTGTCTTTCTTACCTAAGTTAACCTAGCAGCAGAGGCTTTGGTTAGGAGAGTCTGAGGAGGAACAGGCCCTAACAAGGCACTGCCTGAACTTTGACTCTCAGCCTCCAGTCCAGATTGTCTTTGAATTCAGGCAAATCCACGGACCCAGCCCCACCACAACAGAAGTTTAGTGGTTGTAACTGCAAGTTTTGCATTCTGTCTCTGGTATATCTGTGTTTTAGTTTCATTCCTGGCTCCCATCCATCTTAGGGTAGAAGCAACTGACTACCTCAGAGTTCTCTGGTACGTTTTCCGTACCCTGAGTCAACTTGAGAAGTGTGAGCACGGGAGCATGTTTTCTGACAGAAATCAGCACAAGGGTCTGGTAAAGAATTCCTTTGTTCTATTTACTGTTTTAGTGCTGAGAAGAGTGACCCTTAGTAGTAGAGTTTAATAAATATGTATTGGTTACATAGGTATAGAAGGAAATAGATTGGGGGGGAAGCATAAAAGCATTTGGTTAGTACTTACTTCATTTGGTTGCTGCTTACTGGAAATTTCTGGAAAATTAATAATTTATGGGGAAAATACTAGAAACCGTGGAATTCAAGAAACCATGTTTAACACTGGAGTCAAGATAGGCCTTTAGGAGGAGCTCACACACTCTGCCATGCAGCCTCAATGCATCCTCAACAGGAGACCTAATCTGTATTTGGGACAGGAAGGTGTCTCTACTATTCTGCAAGAGGAAAAATTTTCTCCTTAGACTGGCCGCCCAGACAGAGACTGTAAGAGCCCAACCAATGAGAAACCTTCATACTTTGTACTCCCAGCTCTCTGGTTATCACAGCCCCTCCCAACTCCCCTCTTTTCCTTATAAAACCAAGTTTCCCTTCCCTGTTCTCTGGATTTGCCTGTGGTCCACCATCGTTCATATATCCCAATTGCAGTTCCTCTGGCTATTCCCGAATAAACTCACTTTTGCTGGTAAAGTAACTATTATGTTATTAAAGTTGACAAAACTAACTTGTTGCTATACTTAACAGTTTGTATAAAACAAACCATAAAATTATTTGCAAGATAGACGCTGGAATGAAGGAAAGTCATCAGTTAGAAAGTGGGTTTTAAGGAGAGAAGAGAGACTGGCAATTTGGCGGATCTCTGTATTGGGAAGTTTTAAGCATGGGAGGTTTGAAATTGTTTTAAATAGAATGTTAGCATAGTAACACATTGGACTGATAGTTTAATATCCAAAAGAACTACCCGGATTTGTGGGCAAAAGAGAATTTTAAGCATTTTGAGGAATCAGTTCAATTAATAGCAATTGAGAGTTTATTTTATACAAAATGATGTAAGAGATGCTAAAGACATTCACTGATTTCAAAGAGCCTACAGTTTAATTGAAAAGTGCAAAAGGAAGAATTCTTGTCAATATGTCAGTAGTCCTGTGGCATGGCAAATCCTGTACTCTCTTTATTAACTAGTTTTTGTTTTACTAACAAGTGTGTGTTTTATTAACCAGAGACATTTTAAACATGCAAATGCTGGGACCTTATCCTTTATCTCAATAATCTTGCTTCTTGAGAGCACTTTAGCAATTTGCTCTTCAGCTGGCTAACAAATTTGTCTTCTAAATGTGGACAGAATACATGGCGGGAGGGACTTAGAGGAGGTGGGGAGAGAACACTTTCTCCCCGCTAATCACTTTTTCCTCCAATGAATAGCCTCCAGGTTGGCCAAGTTGTTTCTCCACATATGATAACTTTTAGCATAGAATACATTTAAAGGCATTATTTGGGGTTTCTATTTTTCATCTGATCTGTGTTCTTAAAAATTGTTTTTATTCATATTTCTGGATCTTTAAAATATATTGCAAATATAAAAATTTTTTTGAAGAAAAACAGGCTATTCAGAAAACAAAATGTTCTCTTTTGAACATTTCTGTTGCTAAAATAAACACAAAATAGCAAAATCCATTGGGAAGTCTTTTAAAAACATTTAAGTCTTGATTTTGGCAAGTACACCAAAGAATGAATTTCTGTTTGAGCACAGCATTATTTATAAGACTTACTTGAGAAGCTTGGCTTTTCTTAGCTTACCCTAAAATGCCAATGAAGACAAAGGAAAAGGAAACAGCTCACACTATCACCAAAATCTAGGACTGATGACTTATTTTGTTAACATCTCAAAGAAATTTTCTACCAACTATCAAGCCATGGAATTGTAGTAAAAAAAATTGATAAGCAGCTGGAATAAAAGGAAATCTATAAAGACCATTTGTCTTCTCCATCTAACTCTTGTTTAAGAAAGACAAGATGCCTGGCCTAACAATCATTTTACAATGTAGGTCTTTCTTTCTTTCTGTCTGTGTGTGTGTGTCTTTCTGTCTTTCTTACTTTCTTTGAAATTGAAGTACAGTCAGTTTACAATATTGTGTTAATTTCTGGTGTACAGCATGATGTTTCAAACATACATGCATACATTTGTTTTCATATTCTTTTTCATTATAGGTTACTATAAGATATTGAATATAGTTCCCTGTGCTATACAGTTTATCTTGTTTATCTATTTTATGTAGTTAGTATCTTCAAATCTTGAACTCCCAATTTATCCCTTCCCAACCCTTTCCCCCTTGGTAACCAGAAGTTTATTTTAGATGTCTATAAGTCTGTTTCTGTTTTATAAATAAGTTCATTTGTGTCTTTTTTTTTTTTAAGATTCCACATATGAATGATATCATAAGGTCTGTGGGTTTGTTTCTGGGCTCTCTTTTCTGCTCCATTAATCCATATGTCTGTTTTTATGCCAATACCACAGTGTTTTGATTACTGTAGCTCTGTAGTATTGTCTGAAATCTGGGAGGGTTATTCCTCCTGCTTCATTCTTTTTCTTCAGTATTGCTTTAGCAATTCTGGGTCTTTTGTGTATTCCATATAAATTTTAGGATTATTTGTTCTAGTTCTGTGAAAACTTTCCTGTGTAATTTTCTAGGGATCACATTAAACCCTAGATTGCTCTGGGTGATATGGCCATCTTAACAATATTAATTCTTCCAATCTAAGAGCATGGAATATCTTTCCATTTCTTTAAGTCATCTTTAATTTCCTTAATCAGTGTTTTGTAGTTCTCCATATGTAAGTCTTTCATCTCCTTGGTCAGATTTATTCCTAAGTATTTTGTTGGATGCAGTTTTAAAGGGGATTATTTCTTTACTTTCTTTTTTTTTTTTTTTTGGTATTTCACTGTTAGTGTAAAGAAATGCTATTGATTTGTATATGTTAATCTTACATCCTTCAACCTTGCTGAATTCTTTTATCAACTCTAGTAGTTTTGTGTGGAGCTTTTAGGGTTTTCTATATATAGTATCATGTCATCTCCATAAAGTGACAGTTTTACTTCATCTCTTCCAATTTGGATCCTTTTTATTTCTTTTTCTTGTCTAATTGCTGTGGCTGTGACTTTTGATACTATGTAGAATAGAAGTAGTGAGGATGGGGCATCCTTGTCTTGTTCCAGATTTTAGCGGGAAGATTTCACTTTGTCACTGTTGAGTTATTATGCTGGCTGTGGGTTTGTCATAAAAGCTTTTATTATGTTGAGATATGTTCCCTCTATACCCACTTTGGTAAGAGTTTTTGAATTTTATCAGATCTTTTTCTGCATCTATTGAGATGATCATATGATTTTTGTCCTTTCTTTTGTTGATGTGGTATATCACCTTGATTGATTTGCATATGTTGAACCATTCTTGTGCTCCTGGGATGAATCCAACTTGATCATGATGTATGCTCTTTTTTATTTGTTGTTGGATTCTGTTTGCTAATATTTTGTAGAGGGTTTTTGCACTGTGTTCAGCAGTGATAGAGGCCTGTAATTTTCTTTCTTTCTTTCTTGTTATAGTCACAAGGAGAGGCGAGCTTATGATCCTATTACTCTGCCATCTTGACTGAAAAAATCTCGTCTGCTTTTGACAGCATTTATCTCAGCTTTTATCTCAGCAGTTGAGTTTTCTTATTTTAATTGGCTCCTCTCTGTAGTTTCTGTTTCCTTTTTGTAGCATTCAGCATTTCTATTGATAGTCTCTCTTATTTCCTTCAGTGCTCTTATCACCTCCTTTTTGAATTCAGGTTATAGTAGACTGTTGAGGCCTATTTCATTGTTCATTCTTTCAGGGGACTTGGTTTTTTAATTGGGAATGGTTCCTTTGTGTCTTCATTTTACTTGTATTTCTTTAGCTCTATGAATTTAGGCGTAACAGTTATCTACCGTGGTCTTAAACAGTTGTTGTTGTTGTTGTTGTTGTTTAGAGTGGGAGCATCCCTGTGTCATGTTCCTGTCTAATAATTTTGCTGTGAAGGCTGTTCTTAGGATGGATGCTTGCCGCATCTTTCCTCCGTGTGTGCTGGCTGTTATCCCCTTGATTGAGAGTGTGCTTTGTGCTGTGGTGACCAAAGCCTGCCCTAGTTGTTGGGCAGGGCCTCCTCTTTGCTGTGGTTGTCACAGCCCTGCCAAGTACCAGGTTTGGTCCCCTGCTGGTGGAATAGAGGCTTCTACACGTTTCTGAGCTGTGGTGTGGTAGGCGGGATTGGCGCACTTCCACTGGAAGAGGACCCACTGAGCATTTCTCCACACGTTTCCCAGGAAGTGCCGTCTGTGGTGGTGTCTGTCACTTGTTATGTGGGCTTACAAAATACATTTTGTTGATGCTGCTCTTGTCCCCACCTCAGCTGCAGTAACGTTGACAGCCCGCTCTGGTGTCCCCCAGCTTCTGTGCCTGCAGAGCCACCACTGCAGATCCACGAAAAAACGCCAGGAAGTAAGATCTGCTGTTGTGCATGTGCAGTCACACACCTGGTTCCACCGTGTGCCATGGGGTCACCCAGACCCCAGTCCTGGGCCCACATATGGTAGGCAGGCTTGCTCTTAAAGCCAAACCCACCACCACTGTGGGCCAGAACTCCACTCCTCTGTCTCAGAGGCGCGGCTCCAAAGTAGTGGGACCTCTCGTTTTGGATTCAGGTTTCAGCCCTTCTGCTGCCCAGGAGCCGTGCGCCGGTGATTGTGCCCCTCCAGAGCAAACCGAGAAGTTGGCTGTGTCTGAACGCTGCCTCTCTTCTTGTGAGAGCACGTGCCAGCAATGGTGCCAAGTAACGTCCTCTGGGCTGTCAGTGTAGGCGGCTATGACCTAGTTGAGTTGCGCCCCTCCCCACCACACGCACCAGCAGTGGTCCTTTCCGTGGGGGTCCCAGGCTGTTCTGTTCTGCACACTGCAGCCTCAGACTGCACCACACTCCAGTGGCCTGAGGCTGCCTCTGTGCGGTCAGCCCCAGCCCTCTTGCTGGGCTACTCTGGGGCTGCGCCGGGCTCAAGCAGCCAGCCCCGGCCCAGCCCCGCTGGCTCGCTTATCAGGTTAGGGATTACAGGGAACCGTTCTGGTTTCTCAGTTCTGTCTGCCAAGTGGCTGCTGCTTTCTCCTACCAGCCTCCGGAGCTTCCTGTCCCCTCTGACCTCCCTGCTGTAGAGGCGGTCCCAGAGTGAGGGCGCTTCTCCTCCTTTGCTGCTCCCTCCCTGGGGGGCAGGTCCTGCACCCATTTCCTTTTTTTTTCTTCTACTGGTTTTTGTGAGGATTTCCTTGAATTTCCAATATGAGATATTCTGACAAAGTTCAGTAGGTATTCTGTATGATTTGTCCCGTATGTAAGTGTAGATTTCGCCATATTCCCAGGAGAGGGTGAGCTAGGCATCTGTTGGTCCCTCCTTTCTGAGGCATGTGTGACCTCTTCTTTCATACTGTTCCCTTCTACCCTGGGAAAGTTACTTAACCTCTCTACCTCAGTCTCCTGCTCTGTGGAGTGAAGACTGGAATGGTATACGTAAGAATGCTGTGAGGCTAAAATGAGTGATCTGTGTGACAGCACTCAGAACACAGCTGGTTCACAGTAAGCATTACAGAAGTACCAGCAATCATCACTTCTCTAGCTAGTACGGTCCTAGAGGAACTGCCAGAAAACTACCCAGTACAGCGCGGGGCAGTGACAGTCTGCGGGGGCAAAGGAAGGAAACACTCTGGTAGCAGTAGATACTGAGAACTGTTGTTTTTCCAGATAATAAACTTGTTGCATCTCAAAAAGCCACGGAGAGCTAGCTGACGGGCCTGTAACAAATGAAAACTGGGCTAAGAAGCTGTGATGCTTAATTTTGTCAGCTTGACTGGGCAACAGGGTGTCCGGACATTTGGCCAAATGTTAATCTGGGTGAGATTAACATTTCAGTGAGTAGACTGAGTAAAGCACACTGCCCTCCCTAAAATGGGTGGGACTCATCCAATCAACTGAAGGCCCGAATGGAACGAAAGGCTAAGAGGGAACTCTTCCTGCCTGCCTGCTTTAGTTGGTATATTGGTCTTTTCTGGTCTTCAAACTCAGACTGAACCATGAGCACTCTGGGGTCTCAGGCCTCCTGGCTTTCAGACTGGAACATACACAATGGGCTCTCCTGGTTCTCAGGCCTTCGGACTTGAATGGATCAGCTCTCCTGCGTCTCCAGCTCACTGACTGCAGCTCTGGGGCCTTCTCAGCCTCCACAGTTGCATGAACCAATTCCTTATAATAAACATTGGTTCTATTTCTCTGGAGAACTCTAACAATATAGAAGCTATACTTACCAAAATTTTGTCTAGCTATTGATCTGAAGAGGCAACCCACGACCACATGCACAGAGTGGAATGAACTGAAATGGACAACTAGATTCCTGCTGACAAATCCAATTTTGCTGACTTCTGCTCAAAGGTAATTTTTAAATATTTTGGCTCCACTATTTGTCATTCTGATACAGAAAAAAATGGGGCATGAGAGGATGGCCATGTTCTAGGTCCCAGGCAAGTTCCTGGGATGTGCCCCATCAAGTGAGGGTCCTTGGCTTCCCACAGGAAAGAATTCAAGAGCGAGCCATAGTTGAGTGAAAGTAAATTTATTCTGAGATGCACACTCCGTAGACCGAGTGTCAGCCATCTCAGAAGGCCCGAGAGGCCATGAGGTGGGCAGGTGGGGGAGTGTTTGAAGTCAAAGTAGAAACACACTCCATAGAAGAGTGCAGGCCATCTAGGAAGGTGGAGAGGCCATGCAGTGCTATTTTGCTAGTTTTTAATGGGTTCGGTTATTTCATTTGCTAACAAGTGAAGGATCATTCCAGCCACTCAGGGGAAGTGAGGGGGATTCCCAGGAATTGAGCCACTGCCTTGTTTTTGACCTTTCATGGTTAGCTTTGAATTGTGATGGCACCTGTGGGAGTGCCATTTACCATGCTATTCTTTTACAGTGAGCATATAATGACGTTCAAGGTCCACTGTAAGTCAGATCTCTCACCATCTTGGTGCTAACTGATGTGTCATATGGCTGTGCCCTGCCCCTTTCCTTCCTGTCTCAATTCTACCTAAACCTAAATAAGGCAGAGACTGACTGGAAGCTATTTACCAATCCAGTTTTATTTCCATTTTAACAACTAGTACATTATCCTTGGCCCTAGGGAAAAGCTCCACCAATTCTGTGTTCAAACCTGTTC